CAGCGCCAATGTAGACTAAGGCACACATCTAAGACATATAACTTATTTTTAGAAGTCATTGTGAAGCCCAACGGTGAAAAAAAAAATTGCAATGTAGCAGATGCCAGTGTATCCCAGATCCAAGGCAAAATCCACTGTGCAAAATGTGGAGTGCATTGCAGACAGCTGCTGTTGCTAAAGAGCAGTAAAGAATCCAGAGTGGGGAGTGGGAAGCAGGGGCTGAAAGGGGTGATTACATTACTTCTTCTTTTAACTGTTCTTTTCCCTTTTTAAAATCCCATATGCCTCCAGTGGACTGATGGACATTTCTCCTGAAAAAATGAGACACCCCCCCCCCCTCTGAAAAGCAGTTTGAGGCCAGGTTCCATGACTGATGTGATCACCTTCCTCATCTCAAACCAGCGCTAGGCATGGAAATTTGATCATTGTTGCAACAAATCCACTTTCTCCCAAATTGTTTCCAAGCTGGATTATAGTATCAGAGTAAAAGCACCCATAGACTTTCTTGCCCTAAGACAACCCTATGAAATTCATGGTGTCATCATAACTTGAGGTACATACACACAGTGGAGGGGTTTCTGCACCACAACCATCAGTGTCTAGGTTTTGCATTAGGGAGATTGCAAAACCTAGACACTATGACATCTCTTTTCAAGGGGGAAATGTGCATGCTAAATGCAGCAAAACATTGTAATGTCATGCTTAGTTTGTCCTGCACAAGCTGCTGACTACTGGAATCAGACAAAAATTAGCTACCCACAGCTAATTAGGAGCACAGCTTGTTTAAAGGACTTGCTATATAGCCACACAAGATACAGGAAAAATGTTTGCATTGCTTCTTTCAATGTTATTTGAGTGCCTCCCTCTTTAAAACAATTGCATGTTTTAAGCGAGGGGCACTATTGCATGTAAACAGAGGTCTCTTCCCTCTCTTTGTTTACAGCAGTGGTTCCCAACCTTTGGTCCTCCAGTTGTTTTGGATTTCAACTCCCAGAAATCCCAGCCAGCTCACCAGCTGTTAGGAATTGGGCAAGCTGAAGTCCAAAACAGCTGGAGGACCAAAAGGTTGGGAACAACTGGTTTACAGGGAATAGGTATGAGCTACTTTTGGGACTGCAAAACTGGACAAGATGCTATGTAATATCTATACGACTAACTGTAGATAGGTAACAGGTAGGCTGATCAGTATGGAAGACAATTGGCAAGACAATTGGTATGTATAAACAATTTATAAATACTATTGAGCATAAGAAGTTGAACTAGATACATAATTTTAAAAGATTAAAAAATTAATCAGATCACTATTACTTTATTGTTTTCTTGTAAATGTCACTATTGATTGCTGAAAGCCATTTGTTTTGTGTTCGTCTACTTGTATTTTATATGACAAGATATTTTATATTTAAAAGGTCATTTTTATTATTACTTCCTTCTAAAGCTAATGAAGTCTTGTTTTAAGTTGGGAAAAATAAGTGTCTCTTCATTTTGAAGAACAAAGCACGTTTTGTATTAAGGTCTTCATCTAATGCATTCAACAGCTGGACAGACTGGAAACATGAATCCCAAAATAAAGTCCTAAAAATATCCAAGAATGATCTTCTGTTGTTTAAAGTTTGCATAAAAACAATGTTCCGATTTCAAATTATCTGTTTCAATACTTTTATTAACAGTTCCTGGATACACTGTGGGTCCTGACCACTAATGGAGTCCCTGTAGCTCAACGTTGGGCTTCTGAAAAATGTGGCAACTGTAAACGTTTTGTAAACGTTACCCAGTGCTGTTTTAGACATTTACACAAATATGTTATGCAGTGTTTACAATGGGTGATACAGAAGATGCTTCAGCTGTACTCCATAAAAAGTAAAATTGGCCTCTTTAGCAATCCTTGCAAATGCTGATTCATTGTCAGTAAATGTTTGATCTTTATATCTATGCTATATACCTATATAGCAAGGGTCACATATTAGTTTTCTTGGGCTAAAAAGAGTTGTGAGTGGAAAAGTTTAAAAAGCCATGCTCCAGGCTACCACAGTACCCCCTTGGACATCCTTCCCTTTCAACACCCACAGGGTTAACATTAATTTTTGATTCATTGTTATGAGATAAAGTAGATGCCTTCCTATTATACTTGGTGACAAGCTGCAGTTCAAAGATTATTTCCAATGGTACACATAGCCTAATAAACACTAATAACACTAAAATACCCTCCATGTGGCATGGCTAGTGCTGTAGTGTGCTGTTGTGAGCAGTGAAACTCCAACAATTTATAGGAAATACATTTTAAGAGACTTCTATAGAGTTAAAGTTTCTTGGTGGAACTGCAGTGGGAGCAAGAGAACCCTAGGGAACAGCTGAAGTTTAGGAACAATCTTTGAAGGCAGCCCCACATAGAGTGCATTACAGAAATACAGACGGGATGTAACTAATGCATGTACCACTGTGGTCAGATACAACATCTCAAGAAATGGGTCAGTTGACACAAAAGTTTTAAATGTGCAAAGGCACTTCTGCGTCACTGCAGATACCCGGGCCTCCGGGTTCAATGCCAAGTCCAGAAAGACCCCCAAACTGTGAACCTGTATCTTCAACAGGAGTGTAACCCCATCCAGCACAGATTGAATTCCTATTCTCTGGTCTGCCTTTCAACCAACCTGGAACACCTCTGTTTTGGCTGGATTGAGTTTCAATTTGTTTGTCCTCATTCAGTCCATTACTGATGACAGGCACTGGTTTATGGTCAGGACAGCTTCCTTGGCTTTAGGTGGAAAGGAGAGTTGAGTGTCATCTGCATATAGATAGAACTGCACCCCAAAACTCCAGATGTCCTCTTCCAGCAGTATCATGTATATGGTAAACAGAATGGCGAGGTGGGGGTGGGGGAATGACGACAAAAGGTCCTCACAGGTCAATGACCAGGGGTCTGAACATGAGTCTCCCAGCATCACCTTCTAGATATGTCCCTCCAGGAAGGAAAGGAGCCACTGTAAAACAATGTCTCCCAGTCCCATCCCAGTGAGGAAGCCTACAAGTATACCATGATTGATTATATCAAAAGCCGCCGAGAGGTCCAAGAGAGGGACATCCCGTTCAATAACCAGGCCTGAAACCATATTGAAATAGATCTAGAGATAATCTAATACTAAAATATAGCTTAATTATCTCTCACTCACACTCTCTCTTATATCTTGCCCGCCAATGTCCACCCCCCACCCTTAACACACTATGCTACATTCCATATCTTAACTCCTTTCAGTTATCAACTGATTTATATATTGCTGCAAGAGAGAGTCCAAAAGCGACAGACTAAAACCTGGAACCTCAATCAGTGACTGATACCAGATGAGAAACTGTCCCCTGGGCACACAGAAGACTTGGTGACTTGGAATGCACTGAACAGGATGCACTTTGGTACCACGAGATGCAGAACCAATCTTAAGAAATGGGGCTACAAAGTGCAATCCACGACTTGTGAGTGTGGAGAAGAGCAAACCACAGACCACCTACTGCAATGCAGTCTGAGCCCTGCCAAATGCACAGCAACACCAGAGGCACTCCAAGTGGCCAGCTTCTGATCAAAGGAAATCTAGTATAATGCAAAGTTTTTAAACTTTGTGGTTTTTTATACATTATAACTGTATTCCCAATTTACTTCTGACATGATAAATAAATAAATAAATAAATAAATACGCTGACTTGTATGCTTTAAGTATTCAGCCCATATTAGGCTTACCCTCTCCTCTGAATAGTGGCAAGATGTTCAAAACAGTAATGAAATCCATAATTTCAGTATTGCTGAAATTAGGTGGGAGTGTAACTTGGCCAAACAAAATATAGAAGTAAGGGGAATCTGTCTGTTTCCATTGAATGAAGACCTGAAAGTTTTTCAAACAGTGTGGCACAATTTATATTTCTTATCTCTGTAGCTATCTTCCACAGTCCAAGCGAATTCCAGTGTTTTGGACTTTCTGCCCATGCAGCATGGTCAATGTTCAGGATACTGGATCTTGTAAGAGTTTTTTTAAGCTTTTTTGACTCGCAACCTCTTTTTACCAGACAAATGCTTATGTGACCCCAAATATATAAAGGATGAAGGGGGAGAGGGTGAAGGATGGGGAAGGGGTCCTCACCCATCCTTTAAAAAGCTCTGATCTCAAATATCAGGAAGGCACCAGCTTAGGAAAATTGCCCTTTAGTTTCAACATGCTGTAATTCCTGGAAGCTCATAGCCAATTTTTTGAATTTTATTTTTTTTTTGCAAAACAATTCTTTTTTTAGATGTCTCTTTTCAATTTACAAGCATGTGCATACCAAGGGAGATCCTGAACTTAGGTTTACTTCTTTCTGAGAAGTATTCCTGACTCATGCTGGTTATGTGTACTTGTTTGCTATGGTTTGGCATTGGCTTTGCTTGCTGCACCTGCACTGGTGGCTCCCATTTGATTTGGGGAGTGAATCTATTCCAGGCTTTGTCTAGCATTGACTGTGTGATGTGGTTTAGTTTTTGGGCTACTGAAGTGCATCAAGAGACTTAACTCAGACTTTCCACTGACTTTCCACTGAAAGCCTTTTTTTGCACTGCAGTGCATTTTGGCGGTATATGTTTTTGTTGCCGCCACAGTTGGAAGCTCACTTCAAACTGAATTATATGGTTAGTGTAGATGTACATAGCTTGTTATAACACATTGCAGCTGGGGAAAATATGTCTGCCTCCATCTACTATGGATATAGCATCTAGGCTCAGGATGGAGTAGGGGAATCCAAGAAGATGGCTGAGGATATCAGTGTTCCTACTAATCAGAAAAGCCCAGAGCTTCAGACCTGGCTTAGTTACATCACCAAACCAAATCCTTCAGGGGATCAAATCTGCTCATTATAACAGAAAGACTTATCTTCACTTAACTAAACATTTGGATTAATATCTATCTCTGAAGTACTGGAAAAAAATACCAGCCATACACATAAAAACCAGATTCTTTCTGTTAAAGGACAATGGTACTTACGCGGGATCCTTTTTCGGGCAAGCATTCACATCCCCCACTGCAGTCTCTTCCTGCACATGGTCCTGTATAAGATTTTCCTCCCTGAAAGGGAAAAAAGCATATTTAAAAACATGACAACAAGAAAGAATCCAAGTATGTGGCATACTCAAGAGTAGCACTTTTAAATGAAGACCTATCATGGGAGGGTTCATTCTGTTATCATAAATTTAAAGGTTTTTGACTATTCAAGACTCACCATTAAATAAAAAAGTATTTTGTGCTTGTTTGCTTTAAGATGGATTTTTAAAAAACGGTATTGTGTCCCATGATGCTAAAAAGGGACTGATTAAATATTCTGAATCAAAGGATATGATTAAAAAATTGAACAGACTGATAAGAAATACAATTAAATAGGCTATATATGCTTTACAGAGTGTAAGTAATTCCTCTTAATCCTGATATATTACATACACTGACATTTTTGTTGGGATGGAAGTCAAAAGAATGCAAGATAACTAGTGGCATTGAAATGGCCTATTTTCACTATTATTTCATTTTCCACTATTATCTTAGTGGAAAATGGTACAATTTATTCCTCATGTATGTTTGTTGATATGCAAGCATTAAACTATATCGCTGAAAAGAAGAGACACCAGATTTCCCCAATTTAGGCCCTTCAAGGCCTTTTGGGATATATGTATATCTCCAAGGCCTTTGAATTTTTGAAAGGTGGACCAACACTGCTTTGGGTCCTGAGTGAGAATTGAGGATTTAAGGTCCAAATGGGAGTGTGCAAAAGACCAGAATCCAGAAGTCTAAATGAATATGCCTCATCACAAAGGGTGAAATTAGCTTTTTGTTTCACTGGAAAAGCAGGTCCTGGTAAAAAGCCAAGAAAATACTTGATGAGTTACATGTTTTCTAACCCCTTTAACACAATGCAATGGAAGAGGGCAATGGAAATTTTAATTAAAGAAATAGCTCTCCAGGTGCTGGACTGCAGCAGTAGTAATAGTAGTAATAGTAGTAGTAGTAGTAGTAGTAGTAGTAATAATAATAATATAAAACTTTATTCAGGATGGTTTACACACAAAAAAGGGGAAACATTCAATGCACATAAGCGAATATAGGCCTTGTATATCCCTTTCCTAAATCCTAGCTAATTGTTCAAATGGCTGGGAACTGCAGTTCAAAATATCCAAAAAGAATCCAGTTAGAGAAGTCTGTCTTAAGGATTCGATAGTTTACCTACAAGATACTATTTATTACACATAACATTTGCCACAGATGCTAGTTGTTCTTTTAAATCTAGATGCAAAGATTTTAGGTTTGCTTTCAACTTAATTTTGTTGGTTAAAATTCTTAAATACATAATATATTCAGCACTTTCTTTCAGCTTTCAGACACTCAGACATTTGTTCATAAGCTGGTATCATGTTAACAAAAACTAACATTTTGATTTTGAGGTATAAATTAGTCTACAGGTTAAACAGCTGGGAATCAGGATGCAGATGCATATAAGAGACTCTGTATCCAAATCCAGAATAGGACAAATGTATCAATTGCTTTACATTCCGGGTTTTTTTTTTAAATTAATTATCTTAGCCGCCCCGATTCCCTTCCAGAAGATGGGGCAGATTACTACTACTACTACTACTACTAGAAACCTCAGTATATATCTGAAATTGCATCTCAGTGTTCTACATGCTGGCCTAGACTTGCATTTTTTAAAAAAAAAATCCTATGCAGTTTATAGAAGAATAAAACACACAGAAAAGATATGTCAGCAAACCATTCCAAAGACAACCTGTTTCCATGCACACTGTGCTCAGAAACACAAGAAGAAACTCAGGGTTGGATTACTCAGAAGTAAGCATAGCAGCTAAGTTTTGAAAGGATCTCGAATCCATCCTTTCTATTAATAGTAGTATGTCGTCATCATCATCATCATCATCATCATCATCATCCCTGTAGCCAAAGAAGTGTGGGCCCCCTGGTGCAGCAGCGGGTTAAACTGCTGAGTTGGTGAACTTGGTGTTCTGAAAAGTTGGTGGTTTGAATCCGGGGAGCGGGGTGAGCTCCCACTATTAGCTCCAGCTTCTGTCAACCTAGCCGTTTGAAAACATGCAAATGTGAGTAGATCAATAGGTATCGCTTTTGCGGGAAAGTAACAGCACACCATACAGTCATGCTGACCACATGACCTTGGAGGTGTCTATGGGCAACGTTGGCTCTTCGGCTTAGAAATGGAGATGAGCACCACCCGAGTCGGACAAGACTAGACTTAATGTCAGGGGAAACCTTTCCCTTTATCTTCAGCAAAAGAAAATAGCTCAATGCTCTTCCTTTTCTACCATCACATTCTGAGGAGGAAAACCATTCTGATGATATTATTTAAAAACTACAACTGCGCAAATAAATGACAAATCCTTCAAGAAATTATGATAGTTACCAATTAATGAGACTGTAAAGATCACAGAAAGAAATTAATCACAACTTAATGCTCCAGTAATTTCCATGTATTAAAAGTACAGTTTTGCAGAAAATAATTACAAATTTTACAACAGAAATTTACAGTTTTATTTTCCCCCTTACAAATAATAACAATAATAAGGTGGTGGAAGACACACATATCTTAAACATTTTAAACATCTCTTAAACATTTTATTTATAATTCTTCACAGTACTACTGCAGTAGGGATGATATCCCTCCATTTTCTGTACTACTCCTGAAAAATAACATCATAGAAAAAAATGGAAAATATTTCCCTATGATTTTTTTTCATTTAATGTGAGCCTGGAAAATGTGAAACTGGCAATGAAGCGTACAAACAAGTCTCTGGCCAGGGGTTTTGTCCTGATTTTAATTTTTGTTTGTTTTAAGTACTGTGCTGTTCTGGTGATCATTGTCTTTTTATTGTTCCTCACCATAGTTTTGCTAACAGTCACTGGGACTGAATGAACTGGCTGCTGCAAGAGGACACTGTGTACTGTCATAGGGGTGGAGGAGGTAAACTAAGTGGTTAAGCAGAAGGGAAATATGGTTGCGGTGTGGTGTGGGTGTCTTTTGGAAACATCTGAAGAACAATTTGCATTAGAGGTTTAGTGTTATCTGGGCATCCCCTGTGTTTCCAATAGCTGTTACTTGCATTCAACAACTCAGTGAAAATCTACCCTTCTGTGGTATCACATTAATTGAATTCAACTCCGTGTGAATTTGTCTTACAACTAAGGTGTTATTTGCACTGGCCCTATATCATCATTATCATCATCATCATCATCATCATCATCATCATCATCATCATCATCATGTCCAGGTTTCAACTAGAAATTGCTCCTACATGTCCAGACTTCAGGTTGGTAATGTGGAGTAAAACCAATTTAGCCAGGTTTCCCACATATTAGAAGTTGGAAGAATGCTCTAGAGTTTTAATGAAATTCCAGAGCAGTCCAGTACTTCAAAGCAAATGAACCAGCACTAACTTGAAACTGTCCACTGCCCACATGGATTAGCACTACATCCAATTTTCCACTGATACAGGAAGAAGTGGATGGATCAGGGTTATACTGTTTCTGTTGCCATGGCCGCCAGTCAAAGAACTCAGTCAACAAAGGTACCTGACAATCGCCAGGTACCTTTGTTGACATTAGCAAAGATGCCTGTGTCAGGAGGGGTTGATCCCGCCCTTCTCCTTGGTCATGTGGACACCTCTGATGTTAGCCAGGAGCTGTCCAGACAGAGCTCTCCACCAGCTACTGCAGTGACAGGATGACAGCTTGAGTAAAGGTGAATATCCAGTGGGATGATTTGTATTCCACTTGCACTGCTTCCTTGGTTCCCAAGTGGAGCTCTGAGAAATCCAGGGCTGGTCCAGAGCAGAAAAAGTGTACATGTAGATGATCTTGCACACTTAAGGAAGGTTGCTTGTATTTAGCAACATTTCTACTTTGGTTTTGATGGCTTAGTTTAACAAAGGAATTCTCAAAACATCCCACATTCAAACTGATTGACCTAAAAATTGATTGGCATATCTGACAGTCAATCCCTGAGCTGACAATTGTAGGACATCAGGTAATATATGTAACATAATTATGGAATACACCTAAATATGCAACTAGAATTTTATGACAGTAGAATAAGATAAAGTGAGCAACATTTCCCCCTCTGAATGTTTAGTGTTTATACCGTATGTTGTGTACAAAGTATTAATAAAGGAAGACTTGTCATTCTCAACTTCCAGCAGTAATAAACAAAACATATATCTCTAATTTTTGAGTGTGATCAACTCAGGAAAGTAATCTGAACAATTACATCATGAGACACACACAATAGGAAGTAGGAAGTCTGGGCATCCTTCCTTATTTGGCATTTTAAGAGAAATGCTTTGAGAGAGGTCTATTTATAACAGATATTAAAGTTGATTATTCTAGTTTACCAACCTTCATATTTCTGCTATTCTTAGGAGCTTTCAGTGTTCATGCTGACTTTCTCAATCACAGTTTCTATTTCATTCCCTTATATTATACAAAAATATACATAGGTACCGCTTCTGTAGGAAGGTAATGGCGCTTCATGCGGTCATGCCAACCACATGACCTTGGAGGCGCCTACGGACAACACTGGCTCTTTGGCTTAGAAATGGAGATGAGCACCACCACCCAGAGTCGGACACAACTAGACTTAATGTCAGGGAAAATCTTTACCTTTACTATACGTATATCACATGCATGCATACACATGTACACATATTATGGGAAACTGCTGCTTACATTTTTAAATTTTACATTTGTTCAACAGAAAATATATTTTAAAAGTCTGACAAAAAGCACATCAGCTGAAGCCATGTATTTGCCAATTATTTTATTTTATTACTAGAAATCAGACTTTTAAAGATTCAGTGAATTTATAAATGTATCAAGTAATGAAAGCGGCAAATACCACAATAATTTAAAATTTTAAAAAATCTATTCACATTATCCAAGAATACTAATTTCCTCTTTACTCACTTTTTCTGAGTAAACATGTCTAGGAAACATGATCCTAAAGGATCTAAGACAAATACAGCTCATAGTTTTGATACTATTCAATTTATGTCCCTATG